CACGAGCCATTTTTCGGCGACAGCAACTCGGTTTTCAATCAAGTCGCTTCTTTACTTTTCGAACCGTTTCTACTGATGTTGCTGTTTTTTTCCGTCCACTTCCTTGACGTCGGGCTACGCTACCAGTATCACGGTAACGAGCGATGGTACGAGATACAAAAGATTTATTCACATTTAAATGCTGGAGTGCTCTAACGATAGAGACTTGTGGTTTTCCAGCGAAATATAAAGAAATCACACTATCACGCTTGAATTCCGTATGCGTATAACTTTTTTTCTGGAAAATTCTCACCAAAATGCTTTTGTACGCTTGTAAACAATACAATTAGCTGTCACTGGAATAATTTTAACCACTGTCGGACAAGTGGCTTAGAAATGACAGCGGTCTGAAGTTGGTTGCAGTTTTTTTCATCTCACCCTGTATACCCGGAGCTAATGTTCGATTGTTTTAACATATGTTGACTTCTGTTATGATTCTTAAAATTGTTAACCCTCAGTGGAGTAGGTTCCGATGGAATGGGCAAATTTCGTATCGGACCTAAATAAATATTGCGATGTGCCAGGTTGGGACTATATTGGGTACTTTCTTCACTTTATATGAAATGTGATAATTCTATAGAAAATGTTAAAATTTACGTGAGGTACCAGATCCAATTTGATGCAAAATCATAAATTCTGACTAATTTCACTTTCATCTCAGGTTTCTGTTAGACAGAAATATTCAGATATAGCAAGTTGTAAAGAATCGTTGACTTGTTTCACAAGTTATGTCAGATGAAACTATTGAAAATTGTAACCCTTGTGGGTGAGGTATCAGCAGCGGTGCGCAGATATATATCATCTTCACAACAGGTCTTTTGTTATATGAGTTAAATTATGAAGAGAGTTGGGTGCTTACTTCGCTTTCTAACATCCTTATAACAGATCTTGTTTTGATGGAAATTTTGTGAATGGAAGCGAATGTTAATTTCAAAATGTTGACTCTTTGTATCAGAAGGAGTGAACCGATATATCCCTCATTTATAGCAAATCTGTGTTAGTAGAAATAATGGGATGTGTGAAATATGAAGAGAATCGTTTGCTTTAATGATGGTTTTTATACCCTCCACCAAAAAAGTATGGAGGGTATATTAAGTTCGTCATTCCGTTTGTAACTCATCGAAATAATCATTTTAGACCCAACACAGTATATATATTCTTGATCAGCGTAAAATTCTAAGACGATTTAGCCCTGTCCGTCTGTCCGTCTGTTGTAATCATGCCACAGCCTAAACAAATTAAGATAGGAAGCTAAAATTTTACACAGATCTCTCTTTTGTCTGCAGACAGGTCAAGTTCGAAGATGGGCTATATCGGTTCACGATATCGTATAGCCCCCATATAACGTACCCCCGATATTCGGTATTTTTATGATGTTAGCCACATTTTTCAATGGAATTGTCTGAAAATCTACACAAGTTGTTCCTTGTGAGTACTTCACCCCCTGAGAGAGAATTGTCTATACAGGTCCACGATATCGTATATCCCCCATATAACAGTACCCCCCGATATTCGGTATTTTTATGATTTTACCCACATTTTTCATCGCAATTGTCTAAAAATCCACACAAGGACTTCCTTGTGGGTACTTTATACCTCGGCATAGAATTATCTATATAGGTCCACGATATCGTATAGCCCTCATATAACGGTACCCCCGATATTCGGTATTTTGATGTTTTAGCCATATTTTTCAACGGAATGGTCACAAGGGGTTCTTTGTGAGCACTTTACCCCCCGACAGAGAATTCTCTATATAGGTTAACGATAACGTATAGCTCCCATATAACGGTACCCCGCGATATTCGGTATTTTGATGATTTTAGCCACATTTACCAATCGTATTGTCTGAAAATCCACCCACGAAGTTCTTTGTGAGCACTTTACCCCTGAAACGGAATTGTCTATACAGGTCCATAATATCGTATATCCCCCATATAACGGTACTCCCCTATATTCGGTATTTTGATGATTTTAGCCACTTATTCCAATGGAATTATCTGAAAATCCACACAAGGAGTTCCTTGTGAGTACTTTACACGCAGACATAGATTTGTCTTTATGGATCCACAATATCGTATACCCCCCCATATATCGGCACCTTCCTATATTAGATATTTTAAAGATTTTAAAAGAATTTTTAATGGATTTTATTTTTTGAAAATTTTCTAATTCGTTCCAAATGGTGGAGGGTATTCAAAGTTCGGCCCGGCCGAACTTACTGCTTTTTTACTTGTTGGTTATTAAAATCGTTGACCCTTTGTGAGGGAGGTACCAGAAGGAATGGTCCGACACATACATTGGGTTAAAAAAAGATTGTGATGTTTGTAACTTAAAGAATCTTACATCATATATTATATATCTTACATCATATACCCTCTCTAGCCAGTTTCTATAGAGGGTGTAAATCATTTGATACGGGCATAACGTGCCTCATCGAAACAGCGGTTTTCGACCCTATGTATCTTTGCAGTCGATCTAACAATGTCCGTTCGTCTGTCTGTCTGACTGGTGCACACGATAAATCTCGAAGGGAGTATCCGATTTGATCCAAACTTGGTATATCGTAATATTTTCGTCTACTTGGATCGAGTTCGGAGATGGACAATATCCGTCCACTCCTTCTGGTACCTCCCCCACAAAAGGTAGAAATTTTCAAAAAATATTTTACTGCACAGAAAGTAAAAGGATAATCCGTTTCGCTCCAACATTACAAATCCTAATATTTGCATAAGTACTAATTCAGGTGCGAAAATTGACAATATAGGTTCACTCCATTAAGAACCTTCCCCCGAAGGGTCAAAATTTTGATTAATTATAACTTTCATAAAATGTGATGTAAGAGACCGATTGTCTTCAATTTACCCGCATCACAATATTTCTATGAACTCAAGGTCCGATGTGAAGATAAAATATATCGGACCACTCCTTCTGGTACCTCCCCCACAACGGGTAAAATTTTTGAATATCAATGAAGCTCATGAAATGCGGAATTAACATTCGATTCCATTCCACGGCCCAGTATTTCTGTCAACACAAGATCTGTTATAAAGATGGTAGAGATCGGACCATTCCTTCAGGTACCTCTCCCACAAAGGGTCAAAGTTTTGAATAACCTTAATTTGGCAAATCGAAATAGAAATTACTTAATTAATATACAAAATACTTTGTTAACCAGTAAAGAAAGTCCTAAAGTCGGTCGGGGCCGACTTTATGATACCCTACACCACTTTGCTAATTTAGTTGAGCTCCACTTAATAATTAAAAGTTTTTATGGGAGAATTCAATCATAAACGCGATGATTATAATTATAATTAAAAGTTCAAAGGACTAAATATGCCGAAGCATTTGTATCTTTTAAATTCGGACATGTGTTGCCCATTTGGTGCACAAATGATTTAAAATCGGATAAAAATATATATGGGAGCTATATCCAAATCTCAATCGATTTCGATATAATTTGGCCAAGATATATATTTACTTGAATATCGTTGTTACGGAGTGCATATTACGGTTGTGGGTAACGAATATAACAAATCGGATGAACAATATATATGGAAGCTATAGCTATATCTGAACCGATCTTCACCAAATTTGACACACTAGCTTCTAGACTAAATTCGGTCGTATGTGCCAAATTCCATCCCATTTGGACAAATATTAGACGTTTGGTGCACAATAAAAGGTAAATCGGACGAAGTTATATATGGGAGCTATATGCAAATCTGAACCAATCTCGATAAAATTTAGCAAAGGTATTTCTGAGCTGCATTTGATATATTTCCCAAATATTGTTGTTACAGAGTGCATATTACGGCTGCGGAGGACAAAAATAACAAATCGGATGAACAATATATATGGGAGCTATAGCTATATCTGAACCGATTTCGATCAAATTTGGCATACTTATTTTCAGGCCTAATTTGGTTGTATGTACAAAATTGCATACTATTCGGGCTGATATTACACGTTTGGTGCACAATAAAAGGTAAATCGGACGAAGATATATATGGGAGCTATATCTAAATTTTTACCGATTATCTCCAATTTCAATAGGGTTCGTCCTTGAGCCAAACATATGTTGTTTGGAAAATTTCATCTCAATCGGATAATAAATGCGACCTGCATTTTGTTCACAAGAATACATGGACAGACGGACGGACGGACTGACATGCATAAATAAACTCAGAAAGTGATTCTATACAGATCATCAAAAGGAACTATGGGTCTATCTCGTTTCCTTTTGCTTGTTACAAACAAATGCACAAAGACATAATACCCTGACCACCTTGTGGTGTAGGGTATAAAAATGAGATTAATTAGACATTAGTCCGCATTTGTTACTAAACATTAAATATCACTTTTAGTTAATTACTCTTCTCAAATTAAAAAATGTACTAATGCAGTTTCAATATTTCTTTTTTCTTCTCTCTCTCTCGTTTTCTTTCTCTTTTTGACAATCTCATCAAAACGACACAATATCAACAATTAAATGCAAAAACAAAAATCTATCTGTCATGCGAATAATGATGATTTGACATTACCAAAAACGGAATCTGTTTTGCGGAACATTCCGGTGAAATGTGTGCAAATGGAAAATGCAAACGGAAAACTCTGGACATCATAAAAATATTGCACATGTGGCCATGGTCGGTGGCACTCATCTCTGTGTCATGCATGCATTCTGGGATGGGTTGGCTGATGCCTGCCTCCTGTCGCCTGGTGGATATGTTAACATATGGAATTGACTCGAACTCTTGTCTGCCAAAAACGGAAACGACAACAACAACACAAATTGATCTAAAAAACACAAACACACACACACGAACATCGAACATCGAACAACACGGGAAATGCAATTCAACAACGGAAATTGAAAATACCTATTCCTGCTATGAACAACAACAACGACAACAACAATGCCATTGCCAACTCCAACTGATTTCCATTTGACCCTGCAGATTCGTTTGGCAGCCGATAAACTCTGTTTTGACTTAGTACCCAATGTCCAGAACAATGTCACCCTGCCCATTGTGGTCAAGATAAATCGTGCCACCTCTTGGCATTCAGTCGAACTGGACTACAGAGATGGCGAAATTAAATTTACCGTCGACTACCACCATCAGCGCACCGAGATGTATGGCCTGACCTTTAACATTGGTGACAAATTGATCATCGGAAGCAGCTTGAAGTCGGCCGCATCTGGTCTCGTCGGCTGCATACGAGACATCGAGATTAACGGTCATCTGATAGAGCCCCGTCATGTGGTCAAGACGGAGCGGGTGGTGGGCGAGGTGGCGCTGGACAACTGCCAGTACATTGATCCGTGTAAACGGCCCAACACTTGTGAGCATGGTGGCAAGTGTTTCGTCAAGGATGACCGAGTCACATGCGACTGCAAGCACACCGGCTACATTGGCAAGAACTGTCACTTCACCAAGTACCGTAAAACCTGCGAGGAACTAGCCCTGCTGGGCTACACCAAATCGGATGTCTATCTAATTGACATCGATGGCAATGGGGTCTTTCCGCCGGCCCATGTCAAATGTGACTTCCAGAGCTTGGAGAACGCCACGAAAACAATTGTCGAACACAACCTGCCCAGTCAAGTGGATGTGCGTTCGTCGCGCGACTCCGACTTCAGCTTTAACATACGCTATCGTGAATTCTCGCCGGAAATGTTGCAGGAGCTGATCTCTCATTCGCTGTACTGTACGCAATATATCAAATATGACTGTTACAAGGCACAGTTGGAGTTGCATTCGGCAACCTGGTTTACGTCGTCGGCCAAAAATCACACCGTCGATTTTCTGGGCAATGTTAAGAGGTAAGTAGTGTGCGAGAGGGTATGTGCTTGTGTGTTAGTATGTAAATTTGTTTGGCAAGTGTAAGCAATTTGTGGCAAAACAATGTTAAATCATGTTAAGGCACTAATTGAATTACCACAACAGCTAGCGACCGGGGGGCGGGGGCGTGTCAGAAGGAGAATACGTACAAGAAAGAAAATTAAAATTGGTATTCACTGTCACATATGTATACTAAATTGTTAAGGTAAATTAAAACTAGAATTTTTTATACCATTACGAACTCTATTCCCGGTAATATTGCTAAGTGTGTTTTTTAAACCCAAATGGTGTCGAAATAGAAACAAACCATTGGTTTTGGCACTTCGATCACAAAAGTCGAATTTTTAATAATCACAGATTTGTATAATATGAACCGGGTTTACTAGATAGTAAATTATGTTCCAAAATCGGCTGTTCAGACTTCAGGAACTGTGTTTATACATAACCTCCGACATATACAACTGTTAATTATTGTTATTTAAGTTACGTCCTAATTGTGGTGGTGACTCCTCGACGAGAAGAAATAGCTCTGTTGCTCTCTGGGAGCACGAAAAGTCAGTTCCTCTGTCAGAGAGGTGAACTATTAATAAGCAAGCAAAAAAACAGACAGTACGGGCGGGCTGAACTTTGAATACCCTCCACCATTTGGAACGAATTTGGAAGTCTCAAAAAAAAAAAAAATTAAAAATATGCTAAAACAAGTAAGCAAAGGCTACAGTCGAGCGGGGCCGACTGTTGAATACCCTACAGCACTATAATAAACCATACAGGTTATATAGGCGAAATACTCGACAGAATTCCACAAGATATTGTGACAAATAATAAAAGAAAACCATCAGGTTTCGTTCTCTAATTTTCGAACTTTAAACTAATTTGCTCATTTCCAATTTATTGGTAGATGTTGCACATAAATGGTCTTCCTAGATCTGGAACCAATATTTCCCAAAGACCTATAATCTCTCAGAAGTGGCAAAAGATTAACATTTATTATTGGTTTTTGGCTGAAAGGCATCAATATGAGATACAGACATTTGACTATATTCTTCAACGAAATCAGCGTTAACGAAATAGTCGGAAGTGCGTCTCTCCTGTATTTGTGAATTCTCCAAAAAGTCACTGGAATGGACATTTTCGTATTTTGTCTACAAAAGTTGGCAAATTATTTCACACATTGAATATTTTTGGATGGCCATCCAAAACTGCTTGGCTTTTGCAATGTCCGGTAACCCCCATTCAAATGTGCGTGAGGATCGGGCGATAATTACGACCTGCCGACAATTTTGCAGTTTTTTGGTCCATTTCAACCCCTAAATATATGGCGATCATCTCCAAAAAGAGTAGGCTTCTATTCTGACCCTCATCTTATCCCCATGCAAAATTTCGTAAGGATCGGCCCATAAATGAGATCTGTATATGATATCCTGATATTCTAACTACTTAGTTTTGTTAGCTGTAGAAATATTACCAAATGTTTTATTCAAAATGAAAATATGCCAAAAATGTGACAAAATTGAAAAAAATATGAGAAAATTTTACAAAATCCTGCCAAGAGGCCATTCTGAATTAATGAGAACTGTCGAAATCAGTTAAGCCGTTCTCGACATATAAGAGATCTTTCAAGCATATCTTCTTTAATAGACATATATATCGCACATATTTTGCTATATATCCGATTTGTTGGATAATAACATCAATGTAAAGGTCAGAAGTAACCTTGTGATGGCTTTGTGATTTCGCCGGGATTTAAAATATTCACGGTTTAATGAAAAATTTTGATTTTTTTCAACACAAAAGATATGGTCTATTTTACCCGCTAAATATTATCCGATGACCACCCAAACTAGTAGGCTTCTTCCCCGCCCTAAACTCTATCTACATGCGAAATTTCGCGTCGATTGGTCTATAATTGCGACCTGTATAGCTACTGCAAAATCCGACATTTTTTCAGTATTTGGTCCATTTCAACCCCTAAACATTTGGAGATCATCTCCAAAATCAATAGGGTTCTTTTCTGGTCCAAGCCCCACCTACATTCTAAATTTCCTGAAGATCGGGCCATAATTGCGACCTGTAGAGTGATTACAAATTAACATGGACAGACGGACAGACGGACAGACGGACGGACGGACATACATAGCTAGATCGACTCAGCTCGGCGAGCTAGGAAGATCCATATATACTTTCCTATATGGGAAACCAATATTTCGAGGTGTTACATAATTTTTGGCCCAATCAAACTTATAATCATAGCAATACCGAATATAGCAGTTATATATTAGGGTCTATACAAAGACGTGGACCTGCATAGGCAACTTTTTTCATAAGCCATTACAATATTTAAATACGAAACTTGAAAAAAAATCCAGCGCATAATGTAGCTAACATCATCAAAATACCGAACATCAAAATCATCAAACATCATCAAAAAACGAAGACCTGGGCCTGCAAAGACAATTTTCTGTCACAAGCTGTAGTATCTATTAGGAACTTCAAATACGAGATTTCAAAAATTTTCGGTAAATACAGGGTGAGACAGAAAAACTGTAACAAAGTCGAACGCCATAATTTTATTTTTAATTTTATTGATCGAAAGCAAAAAATGTCGGAAATTGCATCAAATTTTAGAATATGTTAAGATTTGTTCGAATTGGTCACCTTTGGCACGAATGGCCTTCAACTGGCCAATGAAACCGTCACACGCTGCCCGAATATTGCTCTGCGGTATTTTCGCCCATTCTCGGCGAATCACTTGCTTGAGGTGATAGACACTTTGGTATTTTTTACTGACAACCTTGATTTCCAAAATACCCCATATACAATAGTCTAACGGATTGATATCCGGTGATTTTGGTGGTCATTGTGCGCTGGAAATGAAACGAGGAACCTCATTTTGCAAGCATTCGTGGATGGCACGTGCTGAGTGCGATGGTGCTGAATCCTGTTGGAATGAATAAAATCTGCGGACAAAATGTTTGCGTGCCCAAGGCTTTATTACACCCTCCAAAATATTTTCGCGATAATATTCGGCATTTATTCTGATGCCACGGTCTATTAATACAAGCGGAGAGCGACCATCGGCTGTTATGGCAGCCCACACTATTACCATGGCCGGCGCTTGTGTTCTTGTGGCCAACCGATGGTGCACATTTTCAGTTGACCTCTTTGGAAAGTAAACACGATCATTTTGTCTGCAGGACAACGAACGTTTTCTCATCGTAGAAAACCAAATTCAGCAATTCACCACTTTCGGCCAAGCAAAGCAACTCTTTAGCTCTTTTGAGTCTATTTCCTTTCTGTTGCGGTGCAAGTTCTTGCACTTTTTGGAATTTCAATGCCTTTACCCCGATCTTATTTTTCAATATTTGTCGAATGGAATATTGCAATATGTTCAGCTCACGAGCCATTTTTCGGCCACTGCAACGCGGGTTTCAATCAAGTCGCTTCTTTACTTTTCGAACCATTTCTACTGATGTTGCTGTTTTCTTCTGTCCACTTCCTTGACGTCGGGCTACGCTACCAGTATCATGGTAACGATTGATGGTATGAGACACAAACGATTTTTATCGCATTTAAATGCTGGAGTGCTCTAACGATAGGCACTGGTGGTTTTCCAGCCAAATATAAAAAATCACACTATCACGCTTAAATTCCATCACGAATAACTTTTTTTCTGGAAAATTCTCTCTAAAATGCTTTTGTTCGCTTGTAAACAATTTAATGAACTGTCACTGGAATAATTTTAACAGGTGTCGGACGAGTGGCTTAAAAATGACAGCAGTCTGAAGTTGATTGTCATTTTTTTCATCTCACCCTGTAGTTCCCTTGCGAACTCTTAATATGAAATTTGAAACAACTCCGGTGAATAATGTCCCCAAAATCGTCAAAATATAGAATATCGGCGATACAATGTCATGGACCTATATAGACACTTCTCTTCCAGGGGGCTTAGAAAGAACTTCTAGTAAGGATTTTTTAACAATTCCATTGAAAAAATTAGCAAGAACCAAAATAGCGAATATAGGAACGTACCGTTATATGGGGGATAAACGATATCGTGGAGCTATATACACATTTCTATTCCAGGGGGTAAAGTACTCCGAAAAATTCCTTTTGTGGATTTTCAGATAATTTCATTGAAAAATTTGGCTACAATCATCAAAATACTGAATATCGGGGGATGGTACCAATATACGTGGGCTATACGATATCGTGGACCGATATAGCCCATTTTCGAACTTGACCTGCCTGCAGACGAAAAACTGATTTGTGCAAGTTTTTAGCTTCCCATCTTTATAAGTTTAGACTATAGCTTGATTACAACAGATGGACGGACGGCCAGGTCTTAGAATTTTACGCTGATTAAGAATATGTATACTTTGTTGGCTCTAAAATTATTATTTCGATGAGTTACAAACGGAATGACGAACTTTATATAGAAAAACTTTTTGGTCAATTAAAAAAATAGTTATCCATTTCTAAGGTCCCTTGAACAGATTTCTTCAATCCTTAACTATAGAAGCAAAAATCTTTAACACATATTCTCTCTAGGAAAACTTAATACAAGAAAACTCGCAATTTTCACAAGTAACATAAACTTTATTTAACAGCAGCAAACTTTTCTAGAAAAATACGCAAAACAAGAGAAACTTTATAAAACATGTATTCAATGCTTGATTTATGTAGCATATCAGTTTGACCATAAAGTCATGGTGAAATACGAAGAAGAACAACATTTCTTTGGCACATTACAAATTTAAACTCAAATGACCGTAACTAAATAAACGAAATTCACATACTTTGTGGGCCATGCATACTAACTTACAGATATGCTCAGACTTGTAGCACCAGCAAACGTGTGTTATGGAAGTCTTAAGGCCACCATGACATGTTTTGGCCAAATGTCCTTTATTTGATTAGGCAACTTGTATAGGGTCTCTCTCTCTCTCATTTTTGCTATTTATTTTAGCACAATTTTTCGGTG